TCCCCTTTCTCCATTAAAATTAAGTGTTAGCTTTAAAACCTCTCTTCGGGTGCTCCCTTCGATAGCTCAGCTGGTAGAGTGGAGGACTAAAACCTTTTTTTGGCAAGAGACCCCGAACCCTCAGAACTTTAAAATTTTCAGATAGTAAATCAGTTACTTAGCATTTTCTCAAATCAATAATACCTCCACATGCCCAAGGACAAACTTCACACAAAAGACACTTCCAAATAAATCAACCAACCCCATCCAGACCCCACACAAGGCACTCAAGATCAACACCCCAGCGCTATACCAACTCAACACATCCAGATCTAAGCCTTCATCACTTGATCCAGCAGACCCTCAAGTTCCCCCAAAAGTTTCCAGCCATGTCTGAGAGGCAGTCCTGGGGCGTGGGCAGGCGAGGAGCGAGCTGCTCCGGGCCTGGCTGCTTCGGGCCTGGCCTCCATTGCTCTGGTCCGCTGCTCTGGGCCAGCTGCTCTGGGCCCGGGCGCTTCTGGGCCCGGGCACTTCAGGCCTGGCCGCTTCAGGCCTGGCCGCTCCTGGCCTGGCAGCTGCTGCTCCGGGCTTGGCTGCTCCCAACCCGGCTGCTCCAGGCCTGGCTGCTCCCGACCTGGCTGCTCCGGGCTTGGTTGCTGCTGCTCTGTGCCTGGCTGCTCCCGACCCGGCTGCTCCAGGCCCGGCTGCTCCGGGCCCGGCCGCTCCGGGCCTGGCCGCTCCCGGCCTGGATGCTGCTGTTCCGGGCCTGGCTGCCTGAGAGCCTAATTTTTTAAACTTAAACTTCTTCTAACGCCACTTCTTCAAAATAGATTCGCCCAGGCCGTGGCATTTTGTGGAAGAGCCACACTCAAGGGGCCAAAGAGCCGCATGTGACTCATGAGCTGAGCCCCAGTTTGCCGACCACGGGGCTAGGGGAACTCACGCACCTTCTGCTTAGCCCCCTCCCCTCAGCATTCCCACGGTGTAAGGTGCTTTCTTGGGGAAGTGTGTTCTTTATTGTGGATTTATTTATTTATTTAGAAATGAAAAGATTTGTCTCTTAAAATGTTTTATCACCCTAGCCCGTTTGGGTCAGTGGTTACAGTGTCGGCTCTTGGACTGAAGGCTCACAGGTTTGATTCTGCTCAAGGGTACTTACCTGGATTACAGGCTCGATCCCTGGCCCCACAGTAGGGCACCTGCAGGAAAAACCAATGTGTCTCTCTCACATCGATGTTTCTCTGTCTCCCCACCCCCTTCCCATTCTCTCTAAAAATCAATGGGGGGAAATGTCCTCGGGTGAGGATTAACAAAAAAATGTTTAATATTTATGAAGAAAAGATGATGGGTTTGTAGTGATTTTCCTGTTCACAAATGGAGATTAGACTTACAAAAAGAGGCATCTGTGGTTGATGACAGTATCAGCGTAAGGAACAGGTCGGTGCGTTGGTTAACCATTGCAGTACACAGAACACAATAGCAAGAAAGTATATTTCCGTGCATCTAACACCGGTCACTTGTACTTTAAAATGACATTTAGCGTAACCCCTGGGTGGGCGGGGGAGACCTGTGAGTAGTGGGCAGTGCAGCAGGGGTGAGGCTGGCAGACCATGTCTAGGTTCACACAGCTGTTCTGCCCTTTTCTCAATTGTGGGGCTGCCTTGTCCCCTCCCTAGGTGACGTCCAATGTCCCTCCATTGCCACAATTCTGTTATTATAGTCACTTATTAATGTTCATGTCTCAGGCTTCCCTCAAGTGACTCATCAGAATGTCAGGAAAACCCAAAACATTTGATTTCCAGAGTTCAGACTAATGCCTGCTTAGTCAGCTGAACTTAATCCTGTTTGGGACAAAGAGAGACATAAATAAGGTAAGCTGACAACTGCAGGTATGCCAGAAACCAAAATTGCGTTTTGAACAGAAGGCAATAAGGTACGGTTTCCAATTGCAAAAGGTCAATGCGTTTCCTGCTGCCAGCGTCCAGAACTTGACAGGCATCGCTGCGGTCATCCCAGCAATTCGTACTAATAGGAGTAACTGTCCAATCTAAGGGGGCGTAAGAAATACAGAAGAGCATCAATAAGAGTGACCATTGAGAATAAGAAGATGAAATGAAAGATGACGCTATAAAATAAACCAGGAGTGAGGTTCTAACACCAATCACCAGAAAGACTACAGCTGCTTTTGATAGTTTGGCATGAAGCTTTTCACCATCTAATGTGAAAGAGGAATTCTGCCCAGTCGATTACATAATTCACACAGAACGTAAGATGAAAGCAAAGCTCAGCAAAATGTGGTTTGTAGTTGCAAGAAGCACAAGTTCCTCCTCAGGGGTCTTCAAAAGGGATAACTGCTACAGGTGACAACGTAATGCTTAGTTCTTGTGTACAAAGAGTTCTACGGGGTGCACTGTGGACAGATAGGGTAGTAAAACTTGACTAAGTTCCTGCTCTCGTGAACTTACAGTTTAAAGAGACAAAATACCTGCTTATGCTTATGGTAAACAATAAGGAAATGGGACAGAAGTGGGCAGTCAGATATGGTTAACAATGAAAGCTTTTCTGATCATGCCAGGGGTTTGAGCTTGAATTTTAAAGATTAGTAATATTGAGAGGATGTGGGAAATGTACATTATAGAAAGAGGAAAAGATAAGTATTTAGGAACAAGAGTAGAAATTTAAATAATATGCTGCTGAGACGGCAGCAGGTGAGGTTCTGGATGGTTCCACCGCCAGACAGCGGAGATAAGAAAAAGAAAACTTACTGTTGAGAATAGAGTTTCAATCTCAAAAACCTGTTTCTCTATACGCCCTAGCTTTGACCTTGGACAAACTACTTATCCCTCCCTGTGTCAGTTCCCTCATCTTATAAAAAGGGGGGAAAAGGAAGTGGGGTTGGGGGAACATAAGGATGAAATGAATGAAATGAAACGAGGCATGTAATGTGACTTGTATAACTGGAGATATAAGCACCAAGTTATTATCACTTTTAAACCCACAAGCAATTCACCCAAATTAGTTTCAGAGCAATTATAAGGCAAACATGTAAACTTGATATTAAACCACATCTGAAAAAAACCTCTTTGTTTTCTAAACAAATTGCAACCCGTTTTTTAAAAAAACAAACCTTAAAACAAAACAAAAAAGAAACAAAAAAACACCTTAAAAGAAAAACTATGATAAACTGAAAACTGCATTGTGATTAAGAGATTATATATACATTTATTTATAATGTCGCTAAATTCTGATGCAGAGAACAAAATACAAAGAAATCAGGACTTAAAAGGAAACATAAAAGTGCAACATATGTACATATATATTTAGCCAATTTGCATATTTGTTTCGATTTGCAAACAAATGGAAAGCTAGTTCCACAGCTTTCATTATGAACATATTTTGAGTTCTAGTGTCCTAGTGCTCTCTGTTCTAAAATCCAGTTTTTATTGTATTTATATCAAGTAAGGTTTATTTTGTTATCTAATCTAAAAGCAGGACTCTGTAGCTGGTACTGAAGCAGCCAGATAAATCAGGCATTTCAAAACAGCTCTTTAAGGGAGGAAAGAGACACAACAAAGGGAGGGTAAAGCCTCCTCAATCTTAGATATGTAAATACAAAAAAAGCAAATAGCAAGAAGCAACAAGAATCACAGAAATGCCAATTCTATTCTAAACTAAAAGCTGGAATTCTCGCAACAATTCAATTAGCAGTAGCTTAGAAGTCTTTGTTCTAAAAAGTAGAACCGTTAGTTCTTTCATTATAGTTTTCTAACTATGCCCAATGAACAATTATCAGTCTTTATATTCTTTTTTAATAGCCCAAGAACATTTTTTATACATAACAGAATACATTAACAAAAGAGGCCTTCAAACATACTGCTGAAAGCTTCAATATAGTTTAGGAGCCAAATTTCAATTTACATAATATTACCACACATAAAACATTTATGACACCCAGTACAATCGTATTCAGCTGTTAAGCCAGAAATACTCCATCTGTCTTGCCTCTGGAGAATTACTGACATGGCTGAAATTGTTGTGACAATCCTACAGAGCCCCTACAAGGGCTACATATAAAATGAAATAAATATGAACTACAATACCATTGTGATAACATGGCAAGCTTACAGAACTGAATTTTCCACTATCGTAATAGCACTAAAAAATTACAATGACCATTAAATATAAGAGTTATTTTTCCCTGCTAACTACTGAACAGAAAAAGTTCTCTGACTATATTTTTGATGAACAGATTATCCTTGAAATAAACTCTAGGGGAAATTGAAAAGTGAACAAAATGAACCCCTCAAGTTCATTTGCCACACATATTAACAACAAGCAAAATACTTTACAAAAAAAAAAAAACCCACACAAAATTATCCTAAAAACAAATAAATATGAGATCAAATCAATAATTTTTGAAGAAAATACAGCTCTTTCAAAAGTTCTATTTGGTTTGTGACTAAACTTGAAAGTACTAAAATAAACCAAACAGATTCATCAATACTGACTTACCATGCGGAATTTGAAAAAAGCACTTCAAGTTTTAAGCTGAATGTTTCATTCTCTCCTCTATTCCAAGACTATAAATAAAAAGAGGAAAGGGGCTCTTGCAAAAAGAAACAAACAAAAACGAAACAAAACCACCAGCCAAAGCTAACCCCATAGGAAAGCTTTCTTCTTTCTGAACGTGTCACTTGAGTCGGTCCTATATTAGGATTAGGTTTCTATAGCAAGGACTTCCCTTATCTTTCTGTCTTTAGTCATTTCCATGTCTTACCACACATTGCTGTGTGTTCCTAAGAAGTCAGGTTGAGTCACAGGTAGCTTTAGGATGCAGGATACTGACTACAGTATGCAGTCAGTTCAAATGAACATGGCATTTGAAAAGATTACAATATGTAAAAATGCAAAAAGAAAACGATGTACAGACCTCACTGCCTTGCACTAAGAGAACAATTTTGAGAAACTGAGAAACACTGAAGCCTGGGAACAGGCATGTGCCGCACCTTCCACGGGCTCCTTCAATGCACTAGTTCTGGCTGGTTTTCCACAAAGGGCAGCACCCCACTCACATAGTAGGCAATACCAAGAGACAGCAGAGCAATGACAAAGATCAAGAGCAAAACTCTCCAGAAGCCCAGATCTTCTACAAACTCCTGCCACGTGGTTCGGAAGCTGGACAGGACGCCTTCACCTTGCTGTAGGTTGGGGTTGAGGAGGGAATGGCTTTCCATGGCGCTGTGAAGACAGAGAAAAAAGAAATAGGCATGAAACAACACCTTTCACCCATTTCAAAAACATAAAATAATAGAAACCATTATTTAGAAAAGAACAACTTCACAACACAATTCTCACAAGCAGAAAACTGATGTATGTACGTATACATCTCACACACCCATGTACTGATTTATGTATTTGGACAAGCTACCTTGAACTGAAAGTTGCTAAACTACAATAATTATGCTTCCTGGATTTGTATCTAGCAGAGTCAAAGTTAAAACTCCTTTTCTAATAAAAAGTCCCAAGCAGGGGTCATAAAGTAGATCAAAAGAGTTGTTTCCATTAGATACTAAACCAAATTTATTTTAAATTTAGAAGAATTCAAAACGAAGATTCATAATTTGAGAATTTGTGTTAATGAAAATAAGCAAAGATGGGAAAATCTAAAAAATCATTTAATACAGTGTGTGAAACTTAAAGTTAAAAGAGAATTATTATTTACTTTAATAATCTGATCAATGAAGGAATTTCTTCTTTTATCTGTAATTCTCTAATAATAGAAGCTTACTTCTCAATCTGTTACTGCTAATTGAACAAGTCTACTCATTAGGAATTCTTTTTAATAGTTTCCTCCCACTGGTTTTAGTTTTACAATAATCCTATATAATAAAAGGCTAATATGCAAATCAATTAAGTGGCAGAACGACCAGCCGCTATGACACATACTGACCAGCAGGGGGCCGACACTCAACTCAGGAGCTGCCCCCTGGTGATTAGTGTGCTCTCACGGGGGGGGGGGGGGGGGCGCTCAGCCAGAAGCCCTGAGCTGGTTCATGGCTGGTGAGCACAGTGGTAATGGCAGGAGCCTCTCCTGCTACCTGGCACGCTAAGGATGTCCGATTGACACGACTATTATAAGCCGTCAGTCAGACATCCCCTAAGGGCTCCCAGACTATGAGAGGGTGTAGGCTGGGCTGAGGGACCTCCTCTCAGCCCCACCCCTCCTGCACAAATTTCATGCACCAGGCTCTAGTTCAGAATAAGATTATTTATCTTCTGCATAATGGCTGAACCCAGATGAAACAAGGTAGTACAAACACCATAAAAGCATTGACTCTGGCTTTCAGAACTCTATCAAGGAGAAATATGACTGCTATAAACAGAAAACAGTATATCTGACTTCCGTACCTGAACGCCCGCACTATGATGAGTTCAAAGCTCAAAGGGATTAGTACCCACAATTATGTCACAACATGAGGCCGAACAGCAGGCTATCATTTAGATTAAAGCCACAATGACCATAATCATATGTTTCAACTATCTATTGCTTAGAAAAATCATTACTACCTTCCCTAAACCCTTTCATATTCTTCCAACCACCTGGGTACAAAACAATGCAAATAGCATAAAACAGTGTCTTCAAGTCTGGTTCACTATATAAAATTAGCAGGTTTTTTTTGTTTTTGTTTTTTAATCTACAGCTTCATTTTACTTCTTGGCACTGTCAACCAGAGTCCTGCAGCCTTTCCTACTAGAGGCCTTCTCTCATCACGGGAAGGTGACTTCCTACTGAGCCAGTGTGCTTGACATCCACAATTTTTCATATTAAAAGATGTTTATTCTCTGATTCCAAGAAGACATTTTTAGTAGGAATTTACAACAATACAAAAATCTAGGAAAACTGAAGCGAGTTAAAAATAAGATTAGAATGCTAAGAAAGTTTAAACATGTAAAACCATAAAGAGATAAAGGTCAGAAGTTAATGCTGACATAAAATTTACTGATTATACCTGAGCTGATTTGCTCTCATACTCCAAGAATTCATTGAGCCTTCTCCTGGAGCTCATTACACTCTGCCCATCAGAATTTTCTAGTGACTCTATTCAATGAAATGTTTCTACTGTCTTTGGAATATCCACTTCTAGCATGTCTGTGTGTGTGCATGTGAATTTTGGGGTACATTTGTCACCTACACTGTCTTAGTCAATCTGTACTGCCAAAAAGGAACTTTTCTTTGAGACTTAGTTCTACTGTAGTCTAACACTAGGTGTCTACTGGTTAAAGGACAATACACCTTCAACAGTCCTAAGCTTCAGAGTGAAGTTAATGGTCCAAATGAATATAATACCAGCCAGCACATGAATAGGGAGGAAAACAATCATATGGACAAAGGAACTGCAGGGTGAACTATGCAAAATAAAGAGGATTCCACATAGAACTCAAAGAAACAATGATTCTGATGGTCCAGGTCCATGGTCAGCAAACTGCGGCTCATGAGGCACATGCAGCTCTTTGGCCCCTTGAGTGTGGCTCTTCTACAAAATACCACGGCCTAGGCGAGTCTATTTTGAAGGAATTGCGTTAGAAGAAGTTTAAGTTTAAAAAATGTGGCTCTCAAAAGAAATTTCAATCATTGTGCTGGTGATATTTGGCTCTGTTGACTAGTGAGTTTACTGGTCTAGGTGGTCTATATTATCCTAAATCCACATCTGATCACTCAGCTACTGAGTCAATACCTGATGAGGGCCCGTGAAAAATTCCACTGAACATTGTGGGGCGAGACTATCATAAGAACCTAGTCCCTCTTACCTGGTAATATCTAGAAGGCTTACACTCCACGGTGTCAATGAAACTACATGCTAGCACAAACTACGTGCTGGCTCACTGACTATCTGCTGAGCCAGTGAGGCCAAGAGAAGAAATGGTTTGTTATCTTTTCAGCGCCCCCTGAACTGTGTTCTGAACTGCTTCTGGATGAGAGATTCTGAGAGACTGAAGACCCAGTCAGTCACTGCCTTCGCTTCAATCACAGGAGCCCAAGTTTTATTTGTTCCAACTCATGGAAAAATCACTTTCACTTTCACATTACTGAATTGTGTACATGTTAAATTTATCTCCTTTCCTTCTGTTTTCCTTTTCCTCAGCAGCCCACTTTCCTGCCCTTGAAACCACCTTTTGGTCTTTTCTAGTACTGTCCAAGTTCTTAGCCTTACTTACCCTTCTCTCCCTTTCTGACACCCCATTCCTTCTGTGACTGTTCTAAAACCCTCAAACCCGCTCGCTTCCCTCACCTTCAGTTCTAGCCACCTCTGCTCCCTGGCACTGCGCCACAGCAGGTTCCCTTGCACAGAAAGTTATTGCCTGGGACACACAGTGCTTTCTGTTAAAAAGCACTGAACTACTATCAGGAGCCACAGGGACCCATAGAGAATTCAAAGGAAGTATCAAAGCTCTGTACTTGAAAGCAAATAAATAGAAAACTTACAAAGTTGTCATAAAAGATCCAGGGACTTAAAGTGACTTGCCCATTAAAAAAAATTGTATTGTCAGTACCTTTCACTCTCAGCTGTCTGCATGGTCTCCAGTTTTGAATGGGTTCCTCTGTTAAATCCTTTTACTTCCTGTTCTTCCAAAGACTCCAGCAATCGGATGACATCTTTATTCACTCCCCTGCGCTTTGCCAGAACTAAGGGTGTAGCACCTTGATGATTGCTAAAAAAAAAAAAAAAAAGAGAGAGAGAGAGGTCATCACGGTAGTTGTATTACATTGCTAGTTCCTACTTGTGTAGATAGGCCCAATTAAGCCAAAATGAAAACCCAGAGCAGAACCAATGATCAAGCTGAAGCCTGAATTCTTAGTTAGGGAAAAGGAAAAGAGAAGTATAGGCAAAAGAGCGAATAAATGAGAATAAGAAAAAGGAGGACATCCTCCCAGAAATTGGCTGGAAAATCTAATTCTATATTCATTTTTATTTAACATTTACATTTTATAAGGAAAAATGTTTATATTCTTTAAAAAGTCTAAAAATTAACTTGGTGGGCATGGCTCAGTGGTTGAATGTTGACCTATAAACCAGGTCACTGGTTCAATTCCTGGTCAGGACACCTGCCCAGATTGCATGCCCACTGTGGGGCATGCAAGATCAACGATTCTCTGACATCACTGATGTGTTTATCTCTCTCATTCTCTCTTCCTCTCTTGAAATCAATTTATATATGTATTTTAAGTCTAAGAATTTAAAAATATGCCAAAAGCAACCAAAATAAACTGCTTTGGTTTACCTAGCTATTTACTAGTAACACTGACAACAGGAAGAGCCCGAATAACTGAATCCTGTAGTCAATTCCCACCACATACTATCTTTATACTGTCCACTTACTGTCTTATTCATATTTAGAGACATTAAAGCACCAATAAATTAGGGCAACATGTAACTCTGGTCAAGCTCAGCTTTAAAGGTGGCCAGACATCTTTCCCACTCAAGAAAGAAAGAATCTCTACAACAAATAAAGAGAACCACTTCTCCAAATGGTTCGGTATAAAAAGGACTCTGAGCCTCACAGAGATTATGAAACTGGCACAGTATGTTATATGATAGAAGCCAAACAAGTTTTGGAAACAGGTGGAACTAGGCTCAAATTCTAGCTATGTGACTTTTGTCAAGTCATTTAACCTTTCTTGTCACAACTATTTTATCTGTCAAATGAAGATAATACCTACTACATTCCTTTTGAGCTAACTTGAGTAAACAGAGTGCCCAGCCCACAATAGATTTTTTTCAACCAATTTCAGGTCGTCTTTTTTTCTTGCCTTACAACACACAATTAATAGCAGAACCTAGCCCCTATTTTCCTAGAAGAATGCATACTGCTTCAGCATAAATCTAAAAGTCAACCCCTTGTCCCCTCATCCCCCTAACAAGACTCCATTGTTCTCAATGCCCTTCTGAACGTATCCCGACAGCTGACCAATGAGGAAGCAAAACCAAAAGATTCCAAGAGTAGCCCACTGGGTGGAGATTAATGGGGAGAAATGACTAGACTTCAAAAACCACAGAGAATTTACCAAATATCAATTTTGAGTCCATTGGAGACTAAGAATTGAATAGTGTCCACATGACCACAGAGATGAAGAGCTGTGTTCCCCTGGTAATCCGTGGCCAGAAGATCAGCCCCAAATTTATGCAGCAGCTGGCAGATGTCCACGTTCCCGCGGGCTGCGGCAAGGTGAAGGCCCGTTCTGCCCCTGCTGTCACGGATGTTGGGGTCAAAGCCACTTTCCAGAAGCCGCTTGGAATAGTTAAAGTCTCCGTCAATGCAGGCTTGTAGCAAGGGCACATTAGTCTGAGAAGAGTCGTTTACAAAAACGTAGGACATGGTTCCGATGTGGTGGATGCCTGTAATGAAATAGGAGGTAAGCCTCAGCGAAGCCAAACTGAATCAGGACAATGAAGTCATTTAGAAAAGCACTTTCTGTTATCCTTCTTGGCCTCCTGCCTCCAGTGAATTGCCTCCCCAAACAGAAACTACAACCAAGTTATCAATTACACTTTATTTTCCATTAAAATGTCTCATTTCCTTCATATCTGCTGGGTCAGATTTGCAATTAAATTACTATAAAGCTTTATTTTGCCTTTCACCGTGTAAAAAAGATTAAGCTATTTTTAAAGTTAAGCAAGATATAACTGCTTAGATTTAAGTCTAGAAAACAAAGATACATGTAGAAAGAAGCATTTAGAAAACAAAGATACCCATCCTTAGACTTCACACACACACACACACACACACACACACACACACACACTCCTCAGATTCTTATTTAAAACAAAGTAATTCCTTCATATATTTGCTTCTTATTGTATTTGAGATATTCTATATGATAAACAGAACTACTGCTCAAAAGTTAACTAATTAGCATTAAAAAACAAACAGTAAACTCAATACCCAATAAGTTCCTGCTAACTGTTGTTTATAGTACAAACTTCAAATTTTAATAGAAAGAGAAAAGCTAAGGGAAGCAGCTAACTCAATTTAAAAATTGGAAATGTCATAAATCATTTCAGATTGCCCATCTTTTTTACAGTTTTGAACCTTTTCTCCTGTGTTCTATGGTTAAATGTCTGACTCTATCCCTGGCTGGTGTGGTCCATTGGTTGGCGCTGTCCTATGAACCGGAAGGTTGCCGGCTCCATCCCCCCGTCAGGGCATTTGAACTCAGTCCCCAATAGGGGGAGTGCAGGAAGCAGCTGATCAATGCTTTGCTCTCAAATAGATGTTTCTTTCTCGCTCCCTTCCTCTCTAAATTTTTTTAAAAAGCCCTCGCTGGTATGGATAAGTGGATAGAGCATCAGCCAGCAACTAAAGGGTCCTGGGTTCAATTCCGGTCAAGGATAAATGCCTAGATTGAGAGCTCGATCCTCAATAGGGGACATGCAGGAGGCAGCCTATCAATGATTCTCTCTCAACACTGATGTTTCCATCTCCTTCTCCTTTCCTCTCTGAAATCAATAATTAATAAATAAATATGTAATTAATAAATATTTAATTAATTAATATCTGACTTTACCAAACTCCCATTGTCTGAAGACTGAGATGAGGAAAAGCAGGTCTGTCCAGGAAGAGAGAGGTAGGACAAAGGCAGCAATCCCATCTGTGTCCTCCCTAATATTTCATCCACCTGAGTAGCGCAGCTTCACCAGTCAGTTTGTCTACATCTCTTTCATTGATACTTTCCTAACCCAGTGGTTTCCCGCCCCCACCTTTCTCTTTCTCTCTCCATCTCTCTCTCTCTCGGTGTCTCCCTCTTAACCCCCCCGTGGTTTATGTAAGAGTAAGTTAAAGCCTGACTAATCTTTATTAAAGAAACTGAAAACAAACCAAAACAAGAAAACACAAACTAAACAAGAAAACCAAAGAGATGACTCCCACTCTAAGGTGGATGAAGCTCAGTCAGAGATGAGCGTGGCTTGTTACTTATCAGCTAGAGTCTTTCTTTCTGGAACATGAATGGAAACGGATGCAAGACCAATCTATTCTTGTGCCCAACCTCCCACCTCCAGGAATCAGCAGAGCATGTCTGTGGTTTGATGAGAGTCTTGGCTCCGACACCTTTGAGCCGGGTCTCCCAGCAGAGACACTGCCCCTCTAGTCCCGGGCTTCCTCACACGGGAGCTCTGCTGCTGCCACGGGTGCTTTGTGCAAAGGGAAAACATTAACAGATGCTCCGGGCCTGTGCTGAGCCAGGCACTGCCCTAGAGCTACTTACTGAATTTTATTTAATGTTCCAACAGCTCCAGGAGGATTCATTGTACCCAAATTTTAGTAAAGAGTCACTGAAGGATGTTAAGCCAAGAAAATGGCATGATCATTCGTTATATTAGTCTTTCATAAAGATTACTTTAGTTGGCAATATGGAGGACTTAGATTGGAGGGGATCAAAATTGGAGACAGGGAAATCAATCAATAGATCGTTGCAGAAAGCCAGACAAGAAATGATGAGAACCTGATCTAACGCAGTGGCAGAGAGAAGGGGGAATGCTGGGGAGGAAGATACAAGATCAAATTAGCACAATTAATGACCCGTTGGATAAAAAGTGAGAAGTTGTTAAAGATAATCCTAAATAAGGGGAAAACCTGCTTATGATTAAGAATTATAGAGACCAAGATAAAATAAACTTCATATTATGACATTATATAATGCTTTTAAAAGAAACTAACCCAATGAGAATTACTCAATAAAATTGTCAAGAACCTTCTTTTTGAGGATAACCTCCCTCTTTCCCCCTACAGCATTCATTGGGTTGGATCATTAAAAAAGACAAATCTATCACAAACTTTGGGGGGGGGGGGGAGGAGAAACAACATAGTGCTTTTCAAGATGTAATGTGTTTTGGTTAAATTATGTATGAATAGATGCTGAAAAACAATTCACTTGGTGTGTTTTTTGTTAGAATTCTTGTGGTTTGCAGACTGGGATTCTTTTGAGTGTTGGCTCAGTGAAAGAGGAGAGGGGAGAGGGGAGAGGGGAGAAGGGAGAGGGGAGAGGGGAGAGGGGAGAGGGGAGAGGGGAGAGGGGAGAGGGGAGAGGGGAGAGGGGAGAGGGGAGAGGGGAGAGGGGAGAGGGGAGGGGAGGGGAGGGGAGGAGGGGAGAGGGGAGGGGAGGGGAGGGGAGGAGGGGAGAGGAGGAGAGGAGAGGAGGAGAGGAGGAGAGGAGAGGAGAGAAGAGAAGAGGAGAGAAGAGGAGAGAAGAGGAAGAGAAGAGGAAGAGAAGAGGAAGAGAAGAGGAAGAGAAGAGGAAGAGAAGAGGAAGAGAAGAGGAAGAGGAGAGGAGAGGAGAGGAGAGGAGAGGAGAGGAGAGGAGAGGAGAGGAGAGGAAGAGGAGAGGAAGAGGAGAGGAAGAGGAGAGGAAGAGGAGAGGAAGAGGAGAGGAAGAGGAGAGGAAGAGGAGAGGAAGAGGAGAGGAAGAGGAGAGGAAGAGGAGAGGAAGAGGAGAGGAAGAGGAGAGGAAGAGGAGAGGAAGAGGAGAGGAAGAGGAGAGGAAGAGGAGAGGAAGAGGAGAGGAAGAGGAGAGGAAGAGGAGAGGAAGAGGAGAGGAAGAGGAGAGGAAGAGGAGAGGAAGAGGAGAGGAAGAGGAGAGGAAGAGGAGAGGAAGAGGAGAGGAAGAGGAGAGGAAGAGGAGAGGAAGAGGAGAGGAAGAGGAGAGGAAGAGGAGAGGAAGAGGAGAGGAAGAGGAGAGGAAAAGAGGAAGAGAAGAGGAAGAGAAGAGGAAGAGAAGAGGAAGAGAAGAGGAAGAGAAGAGGAAGAGAAGAGGAAGAGAAGAGGAAGAGGAGAGGAAGAGGAGAGGAAGAGGAGAGGAAGAGGAGAGGAAGAGAAGAGGAAGAGAAGAGAAGAGAAGAGAAGAGAAGAGAAGAGAAGAGAAGAGAAGAGAAGAGAAGAGAAGAGAAGAGAAAGAAAAAGAAAAGCCTTCCTGGTTTATGTTTTTAAGAAAGAATAAGAATGGTGTATCTTGTGAGTTCCTTTGAGCCCTTGAGAAACTGCTGGCCTTACCCCAAATTTAATAAGCTCAGTGACAGATAACATTTCTCATGTTGATCACAGAACTGACTCTGTCTTAAAGCAAGGCCACAATAGAAAATATTAGTGTCTGCCTTAAGATGAGATCTTTTTCCAGCAGTCACCTGGCAGTTCTCTGCATTCCTAAGAAGGCTCAACAGGATATCCAGAATGTACCGGAGAGGATCCACAGTAAATAGAAGATTCAGTTATAACAAAGGTGTGGTGTGAAAAAGACCTTGCTGCTCCCTTAAAACACAGACAAGGTAGTGCGGCCTGTAGGTATTCCCCAGAAAATCTATGGGTGATGAGGCTAGTAAAGTAACTGACGGGTAATAAAGCAGTGAAAAGGAAGAACAAACAGGCTCTGTTGCTCACAAATAAGAAAAAAATGTCAGAAAGATAAAACAAAAAGAATCAAATCAAGTGTCATCAGCAGAGAAAAAACTGCGCTCCCAAAATTCACTCTCAGTCACCAGCATTCCGAATGCCGATTTTTCATGTCAGTGGTGGCTAGCTGGCCCCTGACTGTCTGCCCCCTCTTCTTTTCTCCCCTCTCTTCCGGCTCAAATCTATCTGCGGTCTCCCCCCCATGGCTGCTCCACCTTCAGGCTTCCGCTGGTGCCAGTGAGGGTCCCCGCTGCACACGGAGGGAGATTTCGAGAGAGCCGTCTGTCCCACTGTGCTCTTGTTCTTGAGGTTCTGTGGCAGAGGGGGCAGTGTGGCCCATAGAAAGCCAACATAGTGCCGGGACCGGTTTGGCTCAATGGATAGAGCGTTGGTTTGGGGACTGAAGGGTCCCGGGTTCGATTCCGGGCAAGGGCATGTACCTTGGTTGCGGGCACATCCCCAGTAGGGGGTGTGCAAGAGGCAGCTGATCGATGATTGTCTCTCATCGATGTTTCTAACTCTCTCTCTCTCTCCCTTCCTCTCTGTACAAAATCAATAAAAAAAATATATTTAAAAAAAAAAAAAGAAAGAAAGAAAACCAACATAGCTTTGTTAAGCAAACATTTACCGTGTGCCCGAAATGTGTCAGTGCCATGCTAAGTGGTGGGGTTTAAAGTCCAAATCCCAAATGCCCAGCTCTGGCTGAAATGCAGGTTAACCTTTCCCTGGTCATTCGTGTTCACTGTCATCCAACCCCTTTGAATTAACCCGGACAGAGAAATAATTAGCGGTGCTTGGTGAAGCTCCAATTACAGTATGTAAGTCAGGTTCTATCATAAAGGCTCTCGGGGCTGGGCTGGAAGTGAAGACCGGGGCTGACAAACCATATGTGAGTTCTAGTCCCACAACAGTGTCAACAAATAACCTGGCGACTG